CCGGCCAGCGACAAGAGCGTGCTGGTCCGCTGGCGCTTGAGCTGCTGGGAGCCGAGCGGCATGCTCGTGGCCGTGACCGCCGCCGCCCTCAGCCGCGTCAGCGAGAAGGCGGGGCCGCCACTTGAACCACCGTCGCATTCGCGACGATGGATTGGCTGGCAGCGTGAGAGCCATCAGAGGAAGGTGACGCGAGTCTCGCGGCCCAGGACCTGCGGCATGCTGGACGGGTCGTCGAGCTGGATCTCGACCTGCACGACGCGCGCATCGGTCGAGGAACCGCCGTCGGGCTCCATGCGCTGCATACGCTTCACGGTCGGCGCCACCCGGGAGATCGTGCCGGCATACACGGTCGGGCTGCCGCGGAACGTCACCTCGACCTTGCCGCCGGTGGCGATGCGACCGACGCTCAATTCGTCGACGTCGGCCAGGACACGCAACTGCGAGAGGTCGACGATCTTGGCAATGCCGTTCGGCGAGATTCGCTCACCCTGGCGGGTGTAGATCTGGATCACGATACCGTCGAGCGGCGAACGGACCAGCGCCTGCTCGCGCGTGCTGCGGGCATTGTCGAGCTTCGCCTTGATGATGGCGATGTCGTTGTTGCTCTGCTGGAGATCGCTCTCCAGCGTTTCCTTCTGGATGCGCAGCTTGGCCTGTTCGCGCTCGAGGCTCTGCTGTGAAATGTTCAGTTCGAGCTGCTTCTGGTCCGGCGGCTTGCCGGAACGCTGCATCTCGAGAACCTTGAGCTTGTTCTCCTCGACCGCCGACTTGACCACCACTTCCTGCATGGCGATCTCGGCCGTGCGATAGCCGCTGACCATCGCCTCCCGCGCCTTCTCGGTCTTGGCGAGTTCCGCCTCGGACGTACGAACGGCGATATCCGCCTTCGGGTAGTTCGACAGGACGGCGATGACCTCGTCGCGCTTCACCTTCTGGCCATCGGTGACCTTGAGCTCGATCAGCACACCGCCACCCGCCGGATCGCCGGCAATAAGGGCGGTGCCCGAGGGCGCATCGGTGTAGCCGCGCGAAATCAGCGGCGGCAGGGGCCGGGGGCCATCCTGCGCACTGCTGGTCTGCCGGCTGGGCATCATCCACAAAGTCAGGCCCGCGATTACGATAAACGCGGCCAACCCTGTGGCGCCCCAAGTGAACTTTCTTGCCTGCGCCATAATAGATAGTACCAAAAAACGCCCGAGGACGCTGCCCCTAGTTGGAAGGTGGCCTCTAGAAGGTCGTCGAGGTGATCAGATTGCCTCTCAGAACGCCTACGATCGAGAACGTACGATAGATTGATGTCAGGATCTTGTCGTACTCGTAGAGCGGGGCATTCGTGATGTAGACGACGTCCTTCGGCTGCACCGGGAACTGCTGAGCAATGAAGATAGATACCGGCTGGTAAAGATCCAGTCGGAAAACGCGCGCCCGGGCGGTGGGATTATTCTGCAAATCCCCCATTCTGAACACATAAACGCCCGTTTTGTTTGCACGGGTATCGTTGAGGCCACCGACCATGCCCATCGCCTCGAGCAGGCTGATCGTGTGCTTGG